TTATCTGAGAATAGCTGAAAGCTAGTGATAGCTGCTAGTAGTTTGAAAACAAATGCTCCAATTAACTAATGCATCCAACCTTGGCCATTGTTAATTTAGTAACAATACCCACAGGCTGTGAAATGCCTGTGGATGTACAAGAAACCTATATGTGACAAATTCGCAGTTGCCGAAATAAAAATATAAATTTTTTCCATGTAAAACATATGTATATTTTACATTGTTGCGTTAGTGCAACTGCAATAATTTACAAGTTTGAGGTCAATTTAGAACCTTTTTTATGTTTTTTGAATCGTCACTGCATCACTCTTTAGCATAGTTTTGCAGTACTTAATGAGGTTTGCTGTCACCGATAATTATAACTGCTAACCGCAGCATTGTTCATATACTTCTTTGCTTCTTTATGCTATCATAGCCTTTAAAAGGTTTATTGCACACTTACCAGAATACTATTAGCATTAATTTAGAGGATTCATCTCCCAACACAGTCCAAATATGCAGTCTCTTTTTAGTAATCTCTTTTGGTTTTGATTAACTCCCAAACCTCTCTCTTCAGCTCATAAATGCTCGACTATACTAACCTATCCGCTGTTTGGTGCATTAATAGTAGTGATAATGATTGCTTAAATATGCACTTAAACACATTAACTTGCATTTTTAGACATAACCAACAGTGGATTTTAAATTACACAATTAAGATGAGATTAAAATGCAGACTTTCAGCTTTAATTCAAGGGGTTTAATTCAAGGGCCAGATACAGTCTGTTCCCTTGATGTTTCATGACAAATTAAACCAATAAAAACATCTGTATTTAACTCCAAGTGTATAAGTTGTGTTTTCACCGGATCTCTCAATATGTAGTCGGCAGAGATTTTGACGTGAGTGAGGGAAGCGGCCATTAAGACCAATAAACCAAACTAAACCCATAGAGTGATCACAAACACTATGAGAGCGGCCAAAAATTTGCTACATTTTTTGAACGAACACACTGGCCAGCTCAGCAACACCAAAAGGTCTGAAACACCACATAATAAAACTTAGGTGGATGATCACAGAATTATTTCCATGGTTAAAAAAACAACAACTTCACATTAAAAACCAAATGACAGGCGAAGTGAAAAACTTTAAATTGTACCTAGATGATCAATGTTCTGCTGGATCCTAGCATCTTGATCCACCTAATCACTGCTGCAGACCATGCATACACATGGCACTGCCCTTTGGCTCAAAAGAGACAATAAAGGACCCATGGCATTGACCTGGTTTGCAATTGCAAATTCCTTTGATTCTAGCTAAATCTGCATCCATGGAATGTGCTGAAACATACCGGATCTAAGGATGCCCCACCCCGGAGCTGACAGGACCCAAAGGATTTGAGGCCAATGTTCCAGTGCCAAATACTGCAGGACAAACCCATAGGACCCCCAGCAGATAAGGGCTGGTTTTTGCCAGCAGTGCTTTAGACCATCAACACACACGTCTAGCAATTTCATTAAACTGCAAGTGTAAATGAAGCAGACAAAAACAATTTAAAGTTCCTCAGAAAAAAAACAGTGGTGAGTTCTAAAAAAGCCCTGCGTCTCCAAAGACACCCTGAGGTAAAGTCCAGCACAGCACTTAAATCCATTTCATTCTCCTTTACTACCTGTCCATTCAAGAGTAAATGGTGCTAATCAATCATTCAGGCACAATGATTAAGAGGAGTCCTGTGGCAAATTTTTAGACTCTCCCCACTTTACTTTGAGTAATGGTATGCTACTTAAGCATATTTAGAAGATATGGGGAAGTGGGGTTTAACTAAATTTAAAGTATATTGCCTGTTGCCTGTATTCATTCTGAATGAGTCGAATGAGCTTTTGAAAGAACCAGATTGAACTTGCGTAACAATGCAGACAAGAAACCAACTGTTGCTGAAAGATAAGAGTCGTTAAAGATGCCCACAAGCCTCTGGTCCCTTGTTCCCACTCCTTGATCTAAAAGCTGCTAATTTAATAGAAGAGACTGATGAGTTTAATCGGCTTGATGCTAACAAAGGCGTTTTTACTGGGTAATTGAATGTGCAATTAATAAACGCTATTATGGCCATTTTAGAAGAGAAAAACACAGACATGGATCAATACACAGAGGAGGGAGGGAGAAGTAACTCAAGTTAGCACAGACAATACCCACTCAGTCGCCTCACACTTTCAGCACTTCAACAATCAGCTTGTTGAGCTAGATCTGACTGCAGCTGATGTGTTGGAAACCTAAATATTATGAATATAAAAAGATGTACTATGTATACTTTTCCTACTTCCACTAACCTGGGTTCTCATCTACTGTACATAACATCTTTCTCTTTTCTCCTCATTTAATTTTGCTTCTGTTTGCCACTTCCTGTCTATCACTTTCTGCTTGGACCACTGCTCTTTCATATTTTTCTTCCTTCCGATTCTTTAATAACGGCAATATCCGTTGCTCTCTGCTGGGCTAAGTGGCTTAGCCTTCATCTTTTATCTCTCAAAGTCTCCCAAAACCAAAAAAGAATGGAAAAAAAAACCTCACTCTAAGCCTTCCCTACCTCAGAGACACCAATTTCCATATATTTATATCCATACACATTCCCCCAATCTCTCCGGCAGAGCAGCTGGTACATGCATTGCTTACCGACTGTGTCTGCGTATGTATGTGTGAGCACAGGGGACTTGCAAGTGTGTGTCTGTCAGTGTAAGCAAGTAATAGAGCATGACATGTTCAAAGCCCCAGCTTTTTGTTCTGCTCAGCCACCTCCCCTCATCCTTTTTAGGGTCACCAAGACCTCCAGGCCAATCTACTAAGAACACAGAAGAAGTGAGGGAAAAACATAACACAGGGAAAAAATGGTAAGTGAGACTTCTGCACTTTCAACTCGCCAGTTTCATTATTTCCTTTTTTGAGTATTCTCAAAGCTGAATACCTGGAGATGAACAAGGGAAAGCAGAGAGGAGAAAATGTGAAAGAAATAGAGAGGAGGAGTGTAAAGAAAAGAGACAAAAAGGCTAGAGACAGGAACCACAGCAAAGGATGACAGAAAATGAGATAAAAGGGCTGAGAGAGGGTAATGAGAAAAGGAAAGTAGAAGTGGACATGAAGGTAGATTACACTCTGTGGTTACTGCGTGTGCTCTCAGACTCATTGCTTATATAATGGAGCTCATCTGATCAGCTGGGGTAATGCCTTTCTCTTCTCTCTGTAAGGTGTTCAGCAGAAACATGGAGCAAGCCTCATCTCAGATCACTGAGAGCATACTCTGATGAACCCATCTCAATTAAAATCAGAAACAAGATTCCCATAAAGGCTCCAAGTTTGGACTGTCAACCAGGCAAAGTGTGGAAGAGTGTCTCTCTTTTCCCATAATATATAGTTTTTACATAATCTGCTCTGCTTTCTGAGTAACGACTCTTCATTAAACCATTAAAAGACTATATTTAGCAGACATTACAGCAGCCAAGGAATTGATCGTGTGCCACTGGAAGAGCCCGCTCTTAGTCTCTGTGGTCGATCAGTTATGTCTTTTTTTTTCCTTCTCCATTTTCCTTTAAAAAAGGGAAAGCACTGAGCACATTGCTCTAATGGTTTTTTTTCTTTTGAAGTTTGGAATTAGTGCTTTAAGTATTACACACTTTATTATGTGTGTGTGTGTGTAATTTGTCTTATTTTTTCCCTCTCTTTCATATTTCTTTCTACAAATTATCACAGAAGTGCTTCTCAAAATTGAAACTCCTTTGTTTTCTATGTGCATGATTGTTTCATTAGCCTCGAACAGTATTGTATCTAACAAATTGCCATCTAAAATTACAAAATGACATTTCAAAATATAGTTTGTCAAACTTCATCACAAACTTAAAAAGAAGATGTAGCAGATCAGAGAAGGCATTCAGATACAAATGCGCTTCACGTATGCTAAGGTGTCGCAACGCAGGAGTACTGAGCTCCGTGTGCGCGTGTGCCAGCTGATCTGCCAGCGTGTCTGTGATCCTTGCGTCTGTGACACATGACTGCACACGTGTTTACTCCCAAGGCATTTTGGGGAACAAAATAATAGTCTGGCGAACGGGATGCCGAGAAACGCATTATGATGTCAAGAGCGGCCGGCAGGCTGGGAGTAAACAGTAGCCACGGGCTGAGTCATTTATCTGAAAGCAATTACACTCAGGTGCACTATCACAATAACCCGTGGTTACAATAAATAATACAGTGGGGAACACTGCTGACAAACGGCACTGATGGCAAAGGTACGAATGGGTCAGCACAATAAAGGTATTGACTGCTTGTTAGAAAAACTGATTCTGTGTAGTGTAAAAACATCAATAAGTGCAAAGATAAAACACGAGAAACGACACTACTCACTGTACGGCAATGATGTCGAAATTGGCCTTTAAAACTCTACCAATGCAGGATTTTGAAACGAATAAATGTACCATAGCCACACGGCTGCTGGGCTTAACGCTTGAAAAACAATCATCTTTAGCACGGTTATATTTTTAATAACACGTTTGTTTATCTTTATGACAACAACGCATCTTGTGCAATTTATTTATTCTAATTAATTAGACGTCTGCTCAGGATAAGGAGGGAGGAGTTAGGCTGCTACGATATAACATTAGCAAATTTCACGAAATAATAGAAATCTTAACCCTCTGTACCCTAACAGGAGAAAATGATTAGGACAGTGAGGGAGATGTTAGTCAAACACAAGCAAGACATCTGCGCACACAGAAAGAGAGAGAAGACAACTAATGAGGCATTTGCTTTAAGAAGGGAAAAAAAAGCTTGATAACATGGGGCTGGCTATATCAAGCTGAGAGTATGGTTACAAATGCTTAAAATGTTCAGAAGGAACGTGTTTATTTTAGAAAAAAAGTTACTTTTTTTGAAGCTTCTCTCTGAAAACTTAAAGAAAAATCAATAAGGAAAGGACAAGGTATGGATAAATCTTTCAGAGTGTGGCAGGAACATCGCCAGTGGCAACAATTCCTACCGTGCAGTGATTCTGCTGCTGCAGCAGAGTGGGCACATCTCCTCCGATGGGCATCTGCTTCGCCAGCTCCTCATCCTTCATGCAGATCCACCTCCACAGCTCCTCCAAAAGGCCCAGCAGTCGAGACCAGCGCTCAGCACTCACCTCCAGATGTGCTCTGCCAAGATGAAGCATCCACTTAAACTAGTACCACCAGATCCCTGTGACAGTATCCCAGTAAATCCTTTCAAACTGTACTCTTTACTTTATACTTTATTCTATACATCCGCACATATAATGGTCTCAAATTTGTTATTCTCTAAATTATAGCGTTTAAATCATATAGTAAAGTTCAACAACTTTTGAATTCTTCCTGCTACATTCTAGCTATGACTGTATTTCAACACGTAAAAAGACATATCCTTACAAAACCCTGTAAAAACCAGATTGCTAACCACTCAAAAGAGGTCGCTGGCCTTCTGGAGTGGACGTTATTTGAAGAAGGTGGATGCAGTTGGCTGCTAACGGTGTGGGTGGCAGCTTGAGTGCAATGTGTGTTGATAATCACTTATTTTTGTCTTCTCCTCTGGGCAAAATGTATCTGAACACGGTGTACAGAGACCTCCTAATGCCACTTACCGAGTTAGCCTTAATTACACATGTACTGCAATTAAGGCATAATGGCCTGCATGCAATCATCATACCGTATCCTCACACTCACACACACACACACAGACACACACACACAGAGTTTTCTTGCTGTCTATTTTCCCTGTTCTTTCCTTTCTGTGCAATGCTTCATCTTGACTAAGTCCCATTTCTCCCACCAAAATAAACCATTATAAATTCAGAATCATTTCATCTCATTTCACCATTTGTATTGATATCCCAACCTCACTTTGTTCTCCTGGCATGGCTTTATTCACCCTCCCCTCTTCCTCTTTGAACATCTCCATCTGGCCCTGTCACCTTCACTTCTGCCTTCACTTTCTTCACCGTCCGCATCCCCACTCATCACCAATCTTTTTTATTTATGCCAAGGTTGTGGCTGACGAGGCACTGCGTGTGTGAAGTTTATGTCCTACCGTGGTTGCTCTCGGGTATTTTTTGTGCTATATGTCATCCCTCTGCTTCACGATGGACATGCAGAGAACAGGAGGCAGTGTAAGGCTGTTATAAACAGCTCGTATGAATATTTCCTAAAATACTGTATGCAAATGAATATTTTCATATATGAAGAATGTTTTTAAATCATGACTAGGACTACATTTGGATTTCATAAGTACCAAATTTCCTAATCAATACTTGACAGTCGAATTGGTCTCAGTGTATCTTTCGATAAGTGATTTATGTACTTCTACACATGCCTGGAAACATTTTCAGGCTCTTCAAAACAAACTCCCTGGTGTTTCAGAATAAAATGGGAGCAACCTTGAGACCAATTTCAATCATGCAATCAGAAAAATCAATGCATCTCTCTTTTTTTGTTTTTAAATTAAAGTACCACCTGAATTTCCCCCAAAATGGGACACTTCAAATTTACAACATGCACAAATTTCTTGAATATTCATCAGCTTCAACTTCTTGCCTTCGGGATTGCATGTGTAGCAGCCCAAAGTTGGGCTGACTGCTGCGAGTCAGTCAAAGAACTAGCTTCACTCCTGTGAAACTGCAGTACCAATCACAAAGAAATAGGACCACAAAAGCTCAACAAGCTATAAATTGGTTGCTGCAGGATGTTCTGTCGTAGTGTCAATAGCGCAGAGAGAGGCACGATGCAAACAGACAGCACCACTGTTTTGTGGCTGTCCTGCATCGACCTGACATTTTATTCTGCAGTATTTGATGCTGTAAACGGTCACATCACATATGAAAATATCACGCAGTAGCTGTTGTTCTTCCTCTTCCGAATTTCTAAAGCATTTTAAGAAAACAACATTGGCAGCAGCCTGGGATGGAGGCTGTGATGCATAAGAGTAATGACTGAATTAATGAGCTTGTTTCTGGAATGAGTAGATTACCGAGTTAAGTCTGACCCGCCTGATGTAGTTACTGTGTAGAAGCCTGGTGTAATTTGTGTAAAATAATCAAGTAGACACTATGGACACTGTGTTTAAAGGCGCAGTGTTTAGGATTTTCACTGAGTACAAAGCAGGTCATGTTATCCATAAACAAATGCAGACCATTTTACTGACATTGTTATTTCATTTTTAAATTAAAGCATTTTCTGATTGGATTGCTTCCATTTATCAACTTCCTGGGCTCCAGAATTCCACATGTTGGGGAAAAGGAAATTTCCTGATCAGGAAATAGCACATCTCCCAATGCACTACATTTAATAGTTAATCAAAACTTCTGCAATGTTATGACACACTAGCTGATTAAAAAAAGGAGAACACTCAAGCTGAGACCTACTTGGACCATTGCCTTGAGACCTTATGCCAAGATATCTTTTTTCTTCCGAGTTTGAGAGCAGCAAAAAGGCAAAAAACTGCAATCTGACATCCATGACCCAAAAGACTCGAGAAAGCAAAAGTTAACAAGTTAAGTTGAGAGCTTTTACTGACCTGATGTTGGCGGATTTGGTCTTCAGGTCGCTCCATCGTTGATTCATGTCATCCAGCCTGTGCTGGAGGAACACGGCCTCCTCTGAGCTGCCCAGCGCTTTGACCATCTTCGACTTGTTCCCGTCGACGCTCTTGTAGATGTCATTGTGGGCATCGATCTCAGCCTGGATGTCCTAAAAATACGAACAAAGAACATGGTTTTATCAGTGGAAAATTAAGGTACAGTCAAGGGCAGCAATAAAGTAGTTTCACATCATTCTTATCACAAAAAATGGATGAGACAGCTGACTACAAGTGAACCTAAAATTTCTTCGGATTGTGTCACAGAGACTTTTCTCGAGGGACATCACAGCGTACTGCAAACAAATTTACCAGTGGGCAGAAAAGTTTATATTTTCTGGAATATCCTCAAGGTACTTTGACTAAAAAGATTTTAACTTCTATTCTTTTGCCGACTTGGAAGGCCCACGCCATCCAGAAGCAAGTCCATGAGCAATATCAGCCTTCATATTAATGCTGGACCACCATTACATTACACCAGGTCTGAATGACAGCAAGAATTTCTCATTTTATGCTGGTATAAAGTTCTAATGCACTGCAGTGTGACTCAAAAATGCTCTGTGCATGGATGTGTGTATATTTACAGGACCAAATTCAATATTATGACGAAGCAAGATTTTGTGTGTCTGTGTGTGTGTGTTCTTAACTCAGTGGCTCTATTACAGAACCCCATCTCAAAGGGCATGTGTGAACGTCTGTGTGTGAGGGTTAAACCACAAGGGGCGCTGACGCAAGCAGAGGATCCTGTCAAATGTTTTATTTTTAGATGTATAAAACTGTTCCGTGTTCTTCTCTCGCGCACTCTCTCTACTGGGACTCCCCTCAGTTCAACCTTTTTCAACTGCACATAAAGAAAAAACTCCAAAGAATACCATGTGTGTAAGTGTAACACTGCTTGGAGCACAGAGGTGTGCAAATGGGGCAAAATTGCTGTAGCTAATAAAAGTGTAATAAGACATATAGCCTACAACAGTGCAGGAACGTTGTAAAATAATACAAAACATAGTGTATAAAATTACACATCTTCAGCAGCTTAAGTAGTTAATTGTGTATCATTTGCACTGGAAATGTAATATTTTACATTTACTCTAATTATAAAACACAGGAAAATCTTGGAAAAGGCCATTGTTGCAGAATTGCTTTCCTGTCCTCTGCATCACTATAATAACTGTGTGCAGTAATGGAAATGGTCTGTACTGCCATTAATGTGCTACTACACTAACTAGAGCCTAACGGATACACGGATCACGCCGTGCTAATTTTGGCCTATTACAGATGAATTAATGAACATATCTTCAAAATGTTCTAGATATGAAACTCTTTTTAATATTACACTATTATATTTGTAAATTATACATCATAACTGAGCAGTTAAGCAATGTATTTGTGTTAAGTTTCTCACTGGTTTGTGAAAATGATTAGGGATTTGGCAATGTCCCCCATTGTTCCATCATCCTGCCGTTCCCCAGTGAGTACGGAATGGGCACAGAAACCTGGTATTAAACAGGCTCCGGAGCTACATTATTAAAAGATTAGAGTATTAGTAACCTACAACATTATTGGAATTGGTTTCGGTACTGGATTGCTTAAGAAAAAAGATTCCAGTCATATTCCATATGCTATTCAATATCCTGAAGATAACTCCTCTCGCTCGACTTGACTGAACTCTGTTGTAGATACGGGCAGCTGGAAACACAGGTTCAGCACCCATTCCATACTTCCTTGAAGCTCACCTCAAGTCCACCATCTGGGATGCAAGTCCAGTTGGGGTGGGTGTAATGGAAATTCTCAGGATGAGTCCGCAGTCACAAAAAACCCCCCCCAAAAAACAAAACAAAGACAGGTACTCCCCATTTACCAACAAAATTTGCATCACTTGAACCCAAGCGGCTGCAGAAAGTATAATCAAGGCTTAACAGGAATAACTATTGTGTCTCCAGCTGTCCGTGTCAGCAACAGAGTATAAACAAGGCTTCAGGCGCACACATCACGCACACATCCACAGATTCTGGTCTTAGTGAGGAGAGAGGAGAAAATGAAACTCTCCAACATGATGGATTCACTTGGTCAGAGTCGACACTTACAGTACTCGTTGCCACAAGTGCAACAGGTCAAAACATGAGTAGCGTGTGAAAACATTGAATGAAAGTCCATCACACTAAGGTGAAAAAATGAAGAGTTTTCAACTGTCCAACTAACATGACCTACATGTAGCGATGCCAAGTGTGTGCATTTTTTGTACACAGAAAAAAATCCACTGACAAAAATCAGCCGTGGTTCCAAATACACACTCCAATATAAACAGAGGGAAGACGCTGAATGGGTATAAACGATACAGGAGCCTCAGAGTGGATGTATGTTAGACGAGCATGAAAAGACATGACCTGTGTATATGTTTTGAATAGTTTATAGTAGAGTTTAAATACTCTGCAAAGTGCGCTGCTGAAAAACAAAAAATACATTTCAAAAAGTAAATTTCAGCCACAGTGTGACCAGACTGCACATGAAACGGCTACACACAGCTACCTGTGGCAATATGCCGCAGTTAGTTAATGCCAATGGGCATTTCATTGAAGGCTGAAGCAAATGCCTCTGCTGTGATCTGCAAGGATAATCATCCACTGCATTTTTTTAAGGCACAATTAAAATCCTTCTTAAAGGTTATAGGAAAAAGGAGGAAAGCCAGGGAGAGACGGGCAGAGGGAGAGGATATGGTGATAAAGACAGAAAGAAAGAGTAACACCAAGAATAAAAAACAGAGACACGTTTGGCTTCTGAGCCAGCTGGCTGTGTTTCAAGTCATTACCCAAGTGCTTCCCTTATATTTTCCTTTAGCGCTTCTACTTCCAGTGGAAATAGTTTGCACACACTAGCACATTCACATATAACACAGAAAGCATACATTGAACGGACAAACAACGGCACATATATTCATTTACAAAAAAACCCTTTTAGGGTGTATTTCAACTAATGAAAGACTGCTTGGAGCCAGAGGATTGTATATGTTGATGTATAAGTGTAGCGACGGATCATTTTCTCCCTCTCGTCAACACAGACATACCCAAACAGACACACAAAAAACCATTTGTATGCCACAGGTCACCATGAGAGTAACCACCGGCCTGTGTTTACTTTTCTTCTATGTTTTATTTATGACTTATTGACTAAAAATGGACCGTTTTAGGTCCAAAGGACTTCAAATATGCCGCCTCTCCTCGATCTATAAACTCGCACTCACCATACACACAAACACTGATTTATGTGCGAGTGGGAAGAAAAGCAGCAGAAAGGTTAATGGGTTCTGGATCTTATGCACACTGTAATGAGTGATAGAGATTTGCTGGCTGTGAGCTTGCTGGAGCTGGAGAAGCGATTCGACCGAGTCTCCCTGGAAACTGAAGCAACAACTACTGCTTAAAGCTTTATGAAGGATAAAAGCATTAAACATGCTGTTAAGCTATGGCTGAAGGGCAAAAAAAACAAAACACCCAGACGTGCTCGCCCATCGGTGAAACTCTCATCTAAAGGAACTTGTTTACATTAACAAAACAACAATGACCCTTACTTGGCTAAGCCATGTTAGCCTTTAGATCTTAATAAAGCAATTAGCGTAAAGGTCTGCTTTGACAAATGATGCTGATTTCATGGCTGTGGGTCTCATTCTATACTAATTCGCTCTCTGCACAGTATCCGTCTCTCAGAACCATTCATTCCACTTTAATGAGTCCAATAAGGACTGCTTAGACTTCATAAAGCTGACTAAATTTGGACCACAACAACAAAGATAGGGGGGGAAAAGAAGAATGAAAGATGGTTGTCTTTGTACTCATAGTTTGCATCAATCAAAAGCTAAAAGTAGTCAAGCTATGACAGAACAGACTTATAATATACCTTTTCAAACTTTCTGAGCAGCTCCTGCAAGCTGAAGTTGAAGCCAATCATTCTGACTCCTCCTACTCCCTTGTGTCCCTACATCTTCTCTACTTTCATACAGATGAAAGGATGTTTCAGGTTTAGGGCAAGTAGACAAGTCCTCCAGTGGTTATGGTCAAAACCAGAACATTCAAGGTCAGCGTTCAGATCAATAATAAATCCAGAATTTGAAGAATCTCGAATCTGGCAACTGAAAAACCAAGCTCTTGCAAAAAATCCAGACACAAAAGGGTCAAAACCAGGTTGCAATCCCAAAACAGGCAATTTACACACCCCTTGGCAGCATTCGAACATGCATGCCGGTGCGTGTGCTCGCCTAATCCCGCCACATGTTGGTAGCATCCTCCTTTGAAAGGCAGCCAGACTGCATAGGGAAGGTGACAGTTACCCTGCAGTCATGCTTCAGAGCTGAGACAAGGATTTAGGGACAAGTGGTGCCACTGGAGGTTTGACAGAGTAGCAGCTGTAGGCTGATTGTTGAGTTCCTCGGGCCAGGAATGGAGCACTTAAACCGCGACAGAAATCCGACAAATCTTGGGTGGAGGTCTGCAAAGTGGAGATAACAGTTTGTGTCTTGAAGGACGACTGGGCTGATGTAAACGTCAGAGTGGTTGAGGACAGGTCTGCGCTCTCCTTCGCTTTGCTTTCCTTCTACCACTTCCCTTCAAAGTATGAAGGAAGCTTTGTTCACCGTGTCCAGTAGTCCAACCCTGGGCAGGGCCGGGACGTTTGCTCTCAATTACTGAAATAAAAAGCACTTTCTCTCATCCAGTCTCACACACACCAAGAGGAGAGACCACAGCAGACGGAGGCACGTGATTTGCCCTTGCTAGAGGTAACTTGGGCTCAAAGAGACAGAGTCCCCCTCAGCGTCCGACTTGCTACTAGCCTCAGTTTGGTCGCTCTATGACACCCTCCTAATCACTGCCATGACTGGGCCACTTAGTCAAAGAATGCCGCCTTCTTTTTGTTGGAGCCACATATTCGCAGAGAGCTGCCTCGAGGTTCTGCGTCTAGATCCTGAACAGCGAGTCTGACACTTTGGCCCCTCTTTTGAGTTGGTTATCCCCTTGTCTCTTGGGAAGGTGAAGAAGATGAGCGTGACCTATTTGCCATTCCGTCCTCTCTCCCTCTTCGAGTAGAAGAAACTTTTTAAAAAGTTACCTGAATTCTCCCGCTC